TTATTTAATATATATATATTCTTTTCTGCCAAGTTCGTGTTAATGGAGGGGACAACCCAATGCCATGTAAAGAATGGGCAGAAACCCTAAGTACTGTATCAGCCTGGTTAAGCCCTCCTGGAAGGACTCTGCCCAACGAATACCCTGCTGTTGCAATCATTGTTATACTACAGTAAAGGGATTTAATTATGCTTTTATAAGCAATTTAAATCTGGTTATTCTCGACTGAAGTGGGTGTCACTGAGAACACGGGCAAAAGACGTGATGAACCACAGTAGTCTGAAATCTACTTTTTCTTTTGTAAACACTTCCCTTTTTGTTTTTGTTTATTATTGGAGGGAAGTGGTTTTCTGTTACTGACAATTCAGATAATGAAGCAAAGTGGGATTCAAGTAAAAGAGGAACCTGGGAAAGACTGGAAATAGCAGGGACAAGCACCACTCCCTTGGCACCCTTTCAGAGACTGACCAGCTCTGCGTTCAGGGCAGCACGGGCTAAGGGGGTCCCCCCGCTCCTCTGACGGCAAGCTGGTCCCGAAATTCCTGTTCCAGGTTGCTCTACTGTTTAGCAACCTCCTCTTCATTTCCAGTCTAACTGTATCCATGGCCAGTCTAGACTGATATAATCTTAGCCAGCATCTTGACAGCTCTGTTTTCCTCCTCAGTGTTCAACATCTGTAGATATCAATCAGATCCTCTTTTTGCTTTCAAGTTGCTAGTCTAAACAGGTTGAGTTCTTCCCTTTTTTGCCCCTTTGCAAAAGACTCTGCAATTACTTCATCAGCCCAGAAGACCTTGTCTGTACCCATAGCAGATTGCGTTCATTTTTTGAACATGACAGACAGTACTAGCAGCGTGACCTTAAATCTTCCTTAAGTTCATGGGAAATACTCTACACAGCCCAGGAGCACACTTGCTATTTCCACATCAACACTGCAAATCAGTAAGAAAAGCCAGAGCAAAAAGCAAAGCAACGAGTGGCAAAAACCACTGCTATTCCGTATCTGACCTCAAACAGCACACATCAATACCGGACGTTTCTGATATTTTACATGAGAACTTCAGGAAAGCCATTAAAATTTAGGCCCTGTGTCTTCATATTATGAAATAAAAGAGGAGTTTTCCTTGGTTACTAGTGACAACAGTGAGCTTTAAGTTTTGTTTCTTCTGTGCAGCACAGCTGCTCTGTGAACCATGCAAGCTATAAAAAAAACCCGAAAAGACAAACCATCTTGTTTCTATTATGTGAATCTACCCAAGGGCTCCACCCTAAATGAGCACAATTCTTAAACTCCATAGCTGGCTGTTGCATCACCCCAGTGGGAAGAGAAACAGGTGGGTGGCAGGGTGCATTTATCTGACTTTTTTTTTTATTCATTATTTTAGTATTTTGGGTTTATGTAGGACAAGTGAGGCCACAACTAAAAGGGCAAGTTTTCCCTCCCTCTTCTAAGAGGAAAATAAGTTCTATGACCATTTAGCAATGCACAAAAAGCAACTGGAAAGGAGCGCAGGCAGTTTGGAAGAACTACACTGCAGAAAACGCTTTGGTCCTAATAACAGCTTAGCTCAGGGACTCCCAAACTTACCTTGCTGGTACTCAGCTGCGGCCACTGCCTCCATCACACCTACTCCTCCCTCCACCACTCGCATCAGCAACCAGCTCCCACCCACATGCACACACCAAAAGAGGCTCTAAGCTGGACAGGCAGTGCATGTGCAGTCCTCCATTGAGGTACCACAAGTGACAGCAATGCTATCATTTGTCTTATCTACACAAGAAGTACCACCAGCTGTGTATGGATCTGACTCAGTGTCCACCCATGTCAGTAAGATCCTTTCCAGTAACCCCAGAAGGATCTTTCAATCAGTTCTGAGCAGTGTACAAAGGCTGGTAGAGACAGGAGGACACGCCTGCTTCCAAGTACAATTCATTGAGTTTGCAGATAATTCAATGCCAACACAGTCCTGTTAAAATTCACGTAGCAAGACAGCAGAGCCTGAGATCCCCCAGCATCCAGAGGACACCACAGGTCTGCAGACATCTGCATGTATGCATTTGGAAACATTCAATGGCACAGCAATGTTTCTAGGGAAGACACAAAGAAAGGCTTCCCTGTTATTACCATTTTGTTAGAGAGCTTAGAATAAGCCAGGATTTTGTTTGCCAAATGACCAAATGCCCAGCAGATGTTAGAAGTGGAATACAGCAGAGTGCTCTGTTCACCCTTGAACAGAGAGGTTTCTCCTGGGTCTAAGGTGGACATTTACAACAGGCCAGGGACCAAATACACAGGAGAGCGCCTCTGTCCTGAATGTGCCGGCCAGCATCAGGAGGAAGGCTATTCACTGCCTGAGCTATACTTACAGGAGTCTGAAAGCAACAGTAGAGCTTGGTGAGGAATGGGTGGTTCCTTGCTAATGAAAGGATGCGTTTCTCGGTCATGGTACATTCAACATCGTCATCTTGGAGAATGACGTCCTTCTTCAACACCTTCACTGCATAGAGCTGCCCACTCTCTTTCATCTTGGCAAGCATCACCTAAACCAAAGGGGAGGGTAAATCGCAAGGGCTGAGCCCTCAGTCTCTATGAGCAAGACAGAGCCTCTTGCACTTTCTCACACTGGAAAGGTCAGTTATCTCATAACCAGGCTTGTGGATGCAAGTCAGTCTGTCTGTTAGCATGGGCATCAGTGTACAGTCGATGACACACGCTACTGTCTGCAGCAGCCTTCGCTAGACAGAAATACCCACACGTTGCTCCAATGTCTGGCTCAGGGCTAACTGGTCGAAGCTCATCCACTGCGCCAGGGCAAACCCCTTGACCACTGCCATCCATCCCACCTTCCCCCTCAGTCATCAAATTCAAATGCACCACTTCACCTTGGCCTGGCCTTGTGGCAAAGCAGAGAAACGAAAACCCCATCTCACTGCATTTGAAACCACTGCCTTGTTTCCTTTAAAGGAAAAGTTTTTACGTGCTCCAAGAAACGCTGCCCAAACGAGTGCTAATGCCCACACTTGCAGTTTCTGGCATAGGTCCTGGCATGCAGCTATTCCTTTGGTTGCTAATTTTTTTCTTTTTTGTGATATCCAATTCTTCACTTCGCTGCCAGCTTTCTTTCTCTTCCCTTTTCTCCCTGTTCTCTGTAACCAACTTTGTTGCACAAAGCATACTCCACTGGACAGTCTGTGTGTCACATTATGAAATAACTTCATCTATCTTGGAACTTCTTAAATAAGGAATACAGTTTTCCCCAAAAGAGCCACAAATAGCTCTCACCTTTCCAAAACTGCCCTTTCCCAATACACGAAGGAAGGTTAAGTCTTTGATCCCAAGTTTGCTTGCTGAACTTTCACTAATGTTGTTGCCATCTTTCAGGCTGCCTTTTCCCTGATGTCTCAAAGTAGATCTTGAAACCAGCTTCTGTGGAAGAAAGCAAATAAGTATCAGTCTGCATGGAAATTATACTTCTGCCTCAGAGGTGCTCACAGGTAGTCAACCTACCAACACAGGCATTTAGAACCTGTTCAGATGCACTGTATGGCCACTGGAACAGAAGGCATGTTGGTACCACCACCCAGCATAGCTGCTATGTGTGACCAGCCACCTCCGGCACTGCGCAGAGCTGTGCTGAGATGTCAACACTGGTTCCTGACTCGGGCATTTTAAGTTGTAAACCCACTGCCTGGCAGATCCAAGAGGTAAGCCTCACTCTCTCCATCCTCACTCCTCAGAAAAATAAGACGATGAGTGTGGAAATCCAAGTCTCCTATCTAACATCAGAGTGAGGAGGATTGTGTAATTTCTGCAATATGCAAAGTGCTGGTGAGATCTAGGACCTGAATAGATTTCATCTGAATCTCTTAGGTTTCTACCTGATTTTAAGACTCTTACTCAAAGCCCAGTTCAGCGGGAACCAAATTTCAAAATATTTTTCTTTCCCACAGCTGGGCTGCTGGCTTCCTCCGCTGCTGTAAATTCGATGGAAGGCTGTTCATCCCCACACCAGCAGTGACGTGTCTGCATTTTCAGGAATCGTACCAATATTAGCACACATTTCTAGAGCTCCTATTTTTGCAGCATATGAAGATCAAGTCAATCTCTAGTGCCCTCTGTTCACAGCTCTCCAGGTATATTATGCATATAAACCACGAGTACTTTTATTCAGTTTACTAGCCCGAACAAAGTCACACGGACTTCTTGAGCTCCACCTCGTGACTACTTTGGTGCAAAACAAAATTCTTCCTGCACAGAAGACTTATCTCACTGCCACAGAAATGGCAACCCCAGCCATGGGGAAAGAACCAAGGGCATCCAGGAGAGCACCCAGCAAAACCGCCAACAGGTTTAAGCCTACAGCACAGTCTGAACACTTACCTAGAGCCTTTAGCTCACAAATAATGAGAAGAGACTGTTAAATAAAATCACAGAATCGATGAGGTTGGAAGAGACCTCTGGGATCATTGAGTCCCACCTTTGCCCTAACACCACCATGCCAACTAGACCATGGCACTAAGTGCCACGTCCAGTCTTTTCTTAAACACCTCCAGGGATGGCGACTTCACCACCTCCCTGGGCAGCCCATTCTAATGCCTAAAACACCAAGCACAGATTTTTATTTTCCCAGTTTCATCTCCTTTTGATGTGCAGATTATGCAAACAACAAATGCTAACAAGTGCTGATTTTTACAGAACTGAGAAGGGAGTGTGGGACTTGTGTTTCCCTGTAACTCCCAGGATAATTGTCCCCCTGAACTGCACAGCGTGAAGAGCAAGATAAGACAGTCTGCTATGAACCAAATGAAATCAAAAGGGGCAGACACAGTCTAATAAGCAAGCTAGGCTGATAGGGCATGATGTGGTTGACTGATATAGCTGGCTAACTGTATGACAAGATTTACCATGTCTGGCAATTATGTTTTGGGTTTTAATATTTTCTTTTTGGTCAAAAATAAATAGACCAACATTTTATTATGGGTTATTGTGGTCTCAAGCAAACTCACTTTTCAAAACTGCTCACAAAGGAAACATGGTGAAAGCTGCTTGTTATCAAATGACAGCTCTGATTTCCACCACCGTGTATGGGCATTTTCGCTCAAGTTCTTAGAGAGTGTTTTAAACTCTCTGAATAGATTCAGATGTATAACAGCTGGATTTTTAGGATGCCTTAAGTATTGACAAGCAGAAATTGTACAGCTATGCCCCAACCCTGGCAACAATCTCACTGGGACACTGTCTCAGACAGCAAGGACCAGAGGTGATGATGTGTTGACAGGGACCACAGATTTTAGTTGGGGAAACTGTAGTGAAGAATGAAATGGTTTCCCTAAAAATCACTCAGAAAAACAGTGACAAAGCTGGGAAGAAAACCTAGGCCTCTTACTGACCTCTTCTTTTGCTCTGTCACAAGCCACATACACAGACAGAGCATTTGTGCTTGCGGTCAAAGTAAAAACAAGTATGGCATAAATTATATTGATCACTAATTAGTCAGGGGTCTTATCCTCCTCTCATTCATGCCAAGCAGATAAAAGAGTGAGTGAATGGAGTCACACCACTGTGAAACACAAGCAGACAATAAAGCAACACCTATAGATTAAAGCCTCCACCAGGGTGAATCTGGACACAAGACATCCATTTTCCAGGTGAAGTCTTTGCCACAAGCCACAGACAGTAACAACCTATTGATGCAGTCCACTGCTCAACACCATCTGTCATAACTGAAGTGTCTGACTTCTCCTGAACCCATATAAAGACTCAGTTGTAAACGTTTTAAATAGAGATGGGGGCGGGGGGGGAAGAAAAAAGAAAAAAAGGAAGAGACTCACCGAATTTGGGGAAATGCTTCCTGGTTGCAGACCCATGCATGCCAAGGTTTTAGCAAGCTCTGCTGAGTTCACCCCACAGTTCGGTGCAACGTTTGCTTGGCATCGGATGTGGACGTTCATTTTACAGACTGACAGGGGTGATGGTAGGAATGGAAAGTAAAAGCAAAGGAACAATTAAAATAACTTGGAGGGATTTGTTGCTAAGAAATAATTTAGCAATTCTGCTTCAGGAAATATACCCATCTGGATCTACTCTGTCTTTAAACTACAGGGATTTTTGTCACTGATCTCAGCAGAAACAGAATTAGATTCTCATAAGAGAATAAACTCCTGAAAATCAGGAATATACCCTAAACTCTCCAAGTAGGATGCCATATTGCCTGAAGGTATTCATAAGCACGTGTTTGTCAGCTATGCCTGCAGACAAAATTGGTATTTATAATGTCACAGAATTCACAACAAACTTCCCCTGCATTTGCAGGTATGTGATTTTAAAGAGATATTGTTCAGTGGGAAACTAAAATCTTTCTTGCTCTTACTCATGGACACACGTACACCCTCTTGTGGGAGATGAAGGCAAAGGGAGACTGACGATTTTACAGTCTGGGTCACCGAAATGAAAACATAACACCAGGACATGCTTTGTCATCAATTAACAGCGTGAGAGACAGGGAGTCAACCTAAAGCAATGACCTTTTATTCCCCCTCAGATGCCTTTTCGTTGCCTTATCTCATTAGCTGAGGAAAAAACCTACACGTTAAGGAAAAAATGAATGCAGGAACAGTGATACACAAGAATATTTTCAATAATGCAAGTTAAACAAAGCCATGCTGAGAGTGCAAAGTAGAGTCCTTCTGGAAGCCAGAGATTAAAAGCAGATCAGTGGCTTTTTTAACTCTTGCAAGGATTCACTCCTCAGCTTTCTCTTGAAGGTTGCACAAATCAAGCCCACACAGTGCATCAAGAGTCTATACGTATTTTGTGAAAAGGCTATAGTAAGAAGCTGCTCACTTTTACACTGTAGGCCCTGTCGCATGATTCCCCAGAGCAAGGAACCGCAGTGGTCACAGAAAGTTGGGACTTTGTAGTTGTGGACGCTGAACTTATGAGGAATGTTGATTCCAAACCTCTGTTCAGTCACCTGAGGTACCAAAAAAAAAAAAAGGCAGAGATTTAAAATTCAAATACATATATATAAACTGATATTCATTTACATACAGGCATTTAAGTGTAGAACTATGAGAATAATTCCAACTCAGAAAACGTCCAAATTTATCACCTCACTGAGGTTTACTGCAAGTGAGTATTGAGTGACCAACCTCACCTGCTGCAAGCCCACTCTGGTTTCCTTGCTGGGCAGACTGCACTACCTGACAAAGGAGATTTTAAAAAGGGTTGCCTAGCCAATTTGAAATTCTTAAAACAGAGTTAGAAGTGTGGATTACCTCATCAGAAACCTATCACACCAAAGTGCCACATAGAAATTACGTTAGCTACAGCATTTTGTAACTAACCAGTTTTCAAATTATTAACTTGCATGCTATGTCCAAACATGTAACTTCAGGTCAAACTGTTGATTTCATTAAATTTAATACAGAATAGTTTTCCCAGCTCCTCCTAAAATTCTCCTTCCTCTTCTCACCCTCCTTGTTATTAACAGTCTTTCATTTCAGGCCTACATTTTGCTTTATCACTTGCTCTCATCCCCTTTTTAACCTTGTTCTTTTCCAACTGTGGGATCTGAATGATTCAAAGACACCTTAGAAAATGTTACACCGGCTGAAGAAACTAATCCTCATTTAGCCTCTTCATTACTTTCTCCTGTGTTTCTCAATATGCAGATCCTGGAAGACGGAGGGGGAACCCACAACGTCACAAAGAAAAGTCAGGCGTGCAACTGAACAATGAGTTCAAAGTCAGCGGTGCCTCCTCACCTTTGTCTCTTTTAAAGTATTTTAAATGTGTTATAAACTCTTCATAATCCTGGGTGAGAGGGGTGAGGACACTCACTATTTAACTTCCACTTTACCCTTAGGCATTTAACATTTTCACCTGGCTCGGCAAGGGGTCATTTTAAGAAGTCTAGCTCAGCAGTTTAGAGGCAAGAAATAATGAACAAAGGCAATTGCTTATCTGCACTGGAAAGAAGGTTTCTGTATGGCACACAATACAGAGCTATCTCCTGATTAAAAATATTTCAATTGAATTTTCCTCAAACAGTAATTAAACAATTTCCAGTTATAGAAATAACACATGCAATGCACAAGGCAGTTTTAGGTGGGGATGTTACTCCTGTCAAATACAGCCAAAACCAGCAAGAAAGAAAACCTTCAAAAACACAAGTTATGCAAGGGTTCTTTATTACAACATAAATAATTTCATAGAGTAAAGGTGTGGAGCAATGACTAAATAGGCGCTTTAAGTTACCAGAAAAAAGCGACATAACAAAGACCGGCGGTTGGATTTTAAAGCCAGAGAAATCCACATGAAGAACCAGGCAGCAAATTTTGATGACAAACCGGTTAATCATGCAAGAAAATTACGAAGGAAAGCAGTGGATTTGCTATTTCTCAAAGTCTTCCAATGAAGACATCCTGCCTCTTAAACTACATGCTAGTCCAACCAGTTATTGGCATTAACAGAACAATCAGATGATATTGCATGGCCTTTATGCATGTCCCTATCACTCCTTCTCACTTTTAAATCCATAAATAAAGATAACACAGAGTAAATTCTGCTATAGGACAACCCCCACCAACCCAGACAACCCTGAAGATTCACAAATTACGATGACCCAGAATAACCAACACAACTTTACCTTGAGATCGGTCTTGTTAGTATTGTTTTGGCACGTGCAAGCTGTAACAATTAGATGGTGGCAGCGCTTGTGTACAACACAGGTGCATACTAGGAAATAAAAGAGGCATGCTGAAAAGAGCTCTTGAAAGACTCAGAACACATCAACCCACCAGCCGGGTTCTTTAAGGCTCAGCTGTATCAGAAAGACACAGTAAAGATGTGAAAAATAACCATTGGCTTGGAATTTTCAAAATCCCCTAACAGATCTGGAGATGCATCTCCAACTCATTGCAACAGAAATTCTGCACTGGATCATTCATACAGCCTAGAAAACAGCTGCCTATACAAAATACAGATGATGCACAGAAATAGCAGTGTAACTTCTCAAATCAACTTTAAAAAAAAAAATGCTGTTGAAACAATTATCCAGTGGAAAGTATTTCATACAACTACAAGAACAACATTAGAGAACACAGGTCCAAGATACTCAAAGTCATCTCTCCATCTCAGTGGCATAGTACTTCTTACGCTGGATATCCAAGTGAGTCCTGCCCAGGTTAGTTTGTCACGGAGGCTCAGTGCAATGCTTGGGTCTGGGAAGTTGGAGCACTGTAGCAGAGTGGTGCTGTGTCTCGGTTAATTTGCTAGTCCCCATCAAAGTCCTCATCAAGAGGGCTAATCAGGCCTAAAGCAGCGTTGGGCTCTCTCCAGGTCTGAAGGTGGCTTGGCTGGAATAAATTTGGATTCCTCTACTCCATAACCAACCATGCACTGTAGACACCACTAAGGGCCATAGCTGCTGTCTACAATAGGACATTTTTGTAATGGAAGATGTAAGTTGCAGGTATGTTGCAGCATCCCACGCTATTCAGTCTGTTGCTGACTTAAGCTTGCACTCATGAAGGGCTATCAATAACATCCACTTTCACCCAGAAATTTTATGTGGGATATCCATTTTGTTTACATGCAGCTTCCTTTCATATGAGGACATCAATGCCCTATTACATTGCACAAGAAACAGGCTATGTTAGAAGGCTATACTGAAAGACGATGCACCTGTGAAGCAAGTAATTCTGTCATCTTACCACAGAAAAAGGGAAAAGCAGAATAATAATTAAGTGCAAACAAGCACCACACACATCTATACAGCCATTCAGCCAAAATGCATTCAGAAAAAAGCGCTGTGCCAGCCTGCAAGGCTGCCCTTTGAAGTCACATCCCTAATTTTACTTTGTTGAATTTCATAGGGAGAGAAAGGAAGAGGGTGACCATTCCAGTAGGGTACTTTGTGTCCCGATACCAGCTGAACACTGTCCTGAAGGGACCTTGGATGTCTCAAGCCTAGTTGGGTGTTGCATGTACTCAGCAACTCAGTGGATCTGCAGAGGATGAAACACAGCAACCGGAATCCTAGCTGTTTGCATGAATGTCGGCAGTTGCTCCTACATGCATGCAAGCCATCAGCCTGACAAGCTGCTCAAATACACAGTTTTGGATGGCTGGGGAGGAAGAGTGGTGACTTCAGAGAAACTTGTAACCACAAGATGTCCCAGCAGCACAGGAAAGTGCTCCCAAAACAGCACATCCTACACACGCACCATGCAGGAGCAGCGCACCTTACCTTGGCACTGGTATCCCTGCTTCCCAAACACGCCCCTGTTCAAAACAAAATATGAACATAATTTAACATCGGAAAGCCAGTCTTGCAGATCATTTACAGAAGAGAGAATCAAAATGCAAGAGGATCCCAAATGACCAGATCCCTGGGGCAAAACTGCCCAGCAACAACTGTGCAATTCAGCACAAGGGTGCAAGAGCAAGAAAACACTGCAAAGGCCGTAGCTTACAGGGCAGATAACATAACAATGCATGTTATTCTCCATATTCCCCCTCACTCTAGTTTCTGAAATACCTCACTTTATTACAACACACACCACATTTATTAGACTGATCCCAGCAGCCCACACTCTGTTATTATCTCTCCCACTCCATGCTCTTTTGAGACATATCTCAGTTTTTCTCCCTGCTCTGCCTACTCCCCCACATATATCATCCCATACCTCACATCTCTGATGGCTGTCCTGTTCTCAGGCATCTTCTCTAATCTTTCAAGCAACTGTTTTTCCTGGTGTAATCTCAAAGCTCCACTCAAGTTAACATCTGGGGTCTTTCTTCAGATTGCTTGTGTTACATTTTCCCCCTCCCCAAAATAATATCTACGCTCACAAGTGAGGAACATTGCCCCATCCCCACACCCTCCCAGTCTGCTTCCAGCATCCAAGATACACATCACCTCTGGCCCCTCTGCAGTAGACTCCAGTTTGCAGCATAAATGTTCCCTGCTAAACCTGATGGTCAGGGGGAGTCACATCAGTGACCCTTGGTAAACTGCTGGGTGACTGATTCAGGATCGGGGGTGGCATGTCAGTCTCCAAAACACAAAGGGATGGGAAGCTCCACATCACCGCGTGCAAGCTGTTCTTACCAGATGAACTCCCTGCAGTGCGAGCAGTACGTAGGCTGTCGCAGGTAGGTAGCCATGAATTTGTGGCCGTTCACCTGATGCACTCGCCTTCGCATCGCCCGCTGGCGTTTCCGAGTGAGGTTCTTGAAAATTCGATCCCTCTGGAGAGTCCCTGTGCAGGGGGCAGGAAAAAAAAAAAGCAACAAAACATTAACATTATCATGCACAGTTATTACTCCTGTTTTTGCTATGGCACAAAATTACATCCCTGGTTTAGAATTTGGGAGGACTATGGTCTAGAACGAGGACAGCATCTGGGACAGGCAAGGAAGTTAATTGCAAAGGCCCCTTCAGCTCAAAATTACATTCTTCATCTAGAAATAACTGCCTCTTCCCATTTTCCTCTTGCTCCTCTCCCATGTTGAGACATGTCACTAGCCCATTCATTCACAAGCTGTAAACAGACCAGAAGCTCAAGGCTAACAAGTTGTTATCACTCACAGCTTTTTGAGCAATAACTCCTGAAAACGTGACTGCATGCAACCAACTGACCAGCGCCCTGCTCGCTGAGCCAAAATGGTGCCTTGCTCGGTGAATAGCATTTATCCACCTTCGGTATGCTCATGCTACACTTCTGGATCACCACTTGTAGCAGTTTTGTTTCCTGTATTGGATAAAAAGGCACAGCTTAAGTTTTCAAGGACTGTTAGTTGTTTGATACGTGCCAATCTCAACTTTCTTTAAAGTTTAGGCTCATTTTCTAAAGGGTAGATAATATTTTAAAGCTCTGGGAAGCAGAGACCCAGGAACTGCTGGCATTCGAATCTGAATTTTCTCAAAATTTAATTTTTTTTTTTACTGGATTTAGTTCAGCCATGTAACAGTTTCGTAGCAAAGTTCAATTTACACAAAACAAGTCATTCTTAAAAGGCAGAATCGAGCTCTAGATCAGGAAAGCCATTCCCATACGGCAGCAGCCATCTGACTTACAAATCACAGCCAGCTGGTCTCTGGGATCCTTGCACAGACTAGGTCAGACTCAGCTGAGCTGCCCAGATCAAAGCCTCATCTGGGGCACACTCGCCTCCGAAGAAAGAAATTAAATTTGCAGTTTTCAAGTTAGTTGCTTTGCAAAGTAAAGGCCCTGCTAACAAGTGCCTTTTGGGGAACACACACTGGAGTCTGCTAGAGGTGACTGTGTGCCAATGTACGTACTCGTTATTCGTTTTGAGCGTGAACTGGATGCAAGACAAATGCCAGCTATTGCCAAATCCTCTGCATGGATGTAATGACACAGGGACAGGCGGGATGTAAGCTTCCCACCCCTCTGATCATCCTGGAGCAGAGGATCAGCAGCAGAACCCAAACACAGCTGTTACCATCCCACTTCATTTACCCATAAAAAGGGGGTAGAGCATTTCCCTGCTTTCAACCAGCTTTGTTGATTAACCACTGGTGGGAATAAAAAACAAACAAACAAACAAACAAACAAAAAAAAACCACCAGAAGGGAAAAAGCTGTCAGCCAGATCAAGCTAGATCAAGGCTTGAAATGTAGAAGTCCCACATCACAGGTGTATTTCCCAGTTCTCTTTGTAGGAGTGGAGATAAGGGAAGCCATCCTGTCACTACCAAAACCAGCCACTTCAAAGAGCTGTGAGCCACACGATGTATTCCTCTCGGTACTCTTGCCACACAGGTTTAGAAGCAAAGTTGGCCATAAAGCTCAAGGGGTTTTTTTGGCTGTGTTCTCCCAGCCATTTGTGCGTGCATCCCCTCCACAGGCACTAATTGAAACCTCCTACCCAATGGCACAACTGCGACATGGAGCATGGCCTGACTTTAAGATGGCTTGCATTTATTTTTTAAATGGAAATGCACACTATAATTCAGGATTTTCCCATTAAAACACAAAAAAAGGATGCGGTAGGGTTGATCCAAGTACTTAACAGAAACCTGCTTTCTTCACCACAGAGCTTCAAGCAGCTAGGCAGAGAGACCAGCGCAGAAGAGCCTGCCTTTCTAGGGAAGTGCTTACTTCAGTGTTTAATTCTCACTGAAGTCAACAGGGCTCAGGGGACCACAGGAATTGCCAGTCCAAATCAGAACATTGATTCATCTAGTTCAGCATCCTGCCTCTGTCAGTGGGCAACTAGAAACACATGACAGCAAGACAGAGGAACCCTGCAGCTCAGAGATAATTTGCCTCTTTCCCACACATGAGATGTCATTTTGATCTCCAGAAGTGAGAGCTGATGTGCAGAGGTGTAATAGCCCTTCCAAACGTTCAATCATCATTGCACAATTTCAACAGCCTCGTTACCCACCATGAGAAACACGGCCATGAAGAACTTCAAGAGATCAACTAGTTCAACCCTTTTCCCCAAAAGAAAGATCAAGAGCCAGTTGCTTCACTGAGCCCAAGCCTCCTGCAACTGCATGTGAGAAGTAAAAAAAAATTTAAAAGTAAAAAAACCTCAAATTCCTTACAGTATTACAGAATTTGCCCACCTTTAAATTCAAGAGAACATCTCCTTGATCTAGGTTTAAGCATATGTTTAAGTGTTTTCCTGGATTAGGGCCAAACACCTCAACTGGCAAAGTACCCTGTCTTGGTGTTCAGCACATACAGGAGAACTTCCAATGCATGGAAAGGGAAAAGCAGGGTTTGTGAGTGGGCAGCAAGCACATCAGTAAATCACCTACAGAAGCAATCCAGTTACCATCTTGTTTTGTACCAGCTACTCCATTAGAAGCCCAGCAGCTGATGCCCTTTAAGTTCACACACTCACATTTACCAGAGTTTAAGAGAATATGTTCCCAATTTAGTTTCTGGTTTTGTTACAGTTTCCCCCAAGGATCAGCATGGGGTAATCGCCTCCCTGGTGCTCTCCCATGCAGCAAGAAACCCACACGCAGCCAAGAGCAAACCAGCCCTTTGCACCAGCAACAGGGGGACACGTCAAGGTGGCCTGCAAAGCCACCAAGTGGGACACTGCTATGCATCCCTGTAGTTTGCCTGGCTTCAGAGAGACTGCAATTTTCAAATGGTTCAGGAAGACCAAAAAAAAATGACAGGCACTTGTTTTTTCATGGGTGGTAGAGGAAGTCTCCATGCTGTCTGCACTGGTGGACACATCCACAGCCAGCCTGCAGCCTCCTCCTCGGAGCTGTACTTGGCCTCCATCTCCTGTTCTCCAACCACTGACATCTCACACAGCACAACGGCTTCCATCTTACAGACCCACTTTTCAATAAAACACATGCCACAAGTTTTTTGCCCTTTTTTTTTTTCTAAAAGCATATTTCATATTTAAAATGTTCCTCAAATTGCACATTTTCCCACGCTACTTGGCTGCATTACCCTGCTAATTTTCTCCAGATGCTGCATATCTTCCAGGTGATTCTCACTCATGCTTACATTCACCTCACATGACTTTATAACAAACCTAAGTGTTACCAAGTAGGAGACTAACTTCAGCAAGGCCTGGATTACTTTCCACACGCAATCAGCTCTTTTGGGCACTGCTCTTCCCATTTCCTGATGCTGTCTCAAGTGAAAAGGAGAGGCAGAGCACAGCCCAACTTCAACCACACCTCAGGCCCAGGCATAGCTGCAAGAGACCATCCATCCATGATGTAGTGGATCTAAATATACAATCACATCCCACAGAATAAATCCCTCTTTCAGAGGCTTGGGCGCTCACCCATCCCACGCACCACCCCATGGAGCAGGTAAGTTCAACCCTCCAACAAGGTGCAAGTGATTTTGAAATGGTGGAACATATCGCTACCAAAACCACCTTCCTCCCAACCACCAAGATGGCAGTCCCTCAGCTCGCATCCATCACATCTGCTAAACGGCTCCCAGCGGTGCTGGGCAAGAGGTTGTGTGCAGAAACCATCGACGCAGCGCTGAAGTCTGCTAATGGACAGGGTGGCCAACGCAGCAGCCCCTCACCTTTAGTGTCAGAGGGTATAAAGTCATCACAGTCATTTTCCTGACTCGTGTTCCGCGTTCTGGCCAGCTTCCTATAGAATATATATTTTCCTTCTGCATGCGGAGAGTTTTTTACAAAACAATGCAGTTCTAGACCACTTTAGGAGACCTTGGACTTTTAAAAGCCTCTAATCTCAGATAAAGCAACAACCACCATGAATGGTTCAAATATCCAAACACTGCTATAAAAACAGGCAAGTGATTGCTCAGTGAAGGGAGTTCCCCCATCCATGGTTAAATTTGGACGTCTGTAACTATGGGGTACTTACTGTGCCTGGCTATGTGCAAAAGTAACTACAAAGTTAAATACTAAAAAGCCTCTTCCCCTTTCCTCCTCTCCACTCATGCCTAACACATGTTTATGGCAGTGGAAATTATGCATGTGGAGGGAGAAGAGAATAAATAACCCACCAAGTCATCTGAGGACATCTGCATGCACTAGCACACCGCTCACCCACCCAGCAGCCTCCTTACACCCCCCAAAATGCCCCTGGCCAGACATTCCCCCCCCCCCTTTTTCTCCCCAACATTTTTTATTCTAGGGGGTAATTTCAGGTAAGTCCTTAAAGCAGTGGCATAACTACAGCAATAAGACGAGAGGAAGAGCTGCAGTGTTGTGTGTGGAACTATTGCCTCAAGTAGTCAAAGCCTGTCAGGTCTCATCTATTGGAAATCAGTCTCACTGTCGCACTATCAACCGCTGCTATAATGCCGTCACAGCAGATGTCATTTGGGTACCTCCTGATACATGACAATTTCTAGTGTTACATTCCCACATGCATCAATGGGATTTGTCTTTGAAAGAAATAAAGATGTTAAAAAAAAATAATTAAAAAGCCTTAAAGCAATAGAGCTAATAGATTAAAACTTAATTAAGCCTTTTTTATTAGTACCAGTAACAGTATACACGTTGTTATGCTCCCCTGGGAGCACTGCAAGCGAGATCCCGTTGCACTGAGTGACACACGAGCACGGAGCAGAGACCAACCACTGAACTTTGTAGACTGTAAAAAGCAAGATAGCGGATTGACAGAGCCCTCGCTTCTCACAAGCACTGCAACACAGAACAACGATTTCAGATCAGGCTAAACACTCATCTAGCTCATGCCCTAGTGGTGAATAGTAGCAGGTGTTTTAGGAAAAGAATATATAAAACAAATAAGCAAACAGGGG